TTTTTTTCAGTTTTAGAGTTAAGGCGTGCTGTTCTACAACCCCATACGAGATTGTACTCTAATAACAAATCACTCTGTATTATATTATATTAGCAATTATATATGTATTGTAGTTACTAATCAGCTAACGGGAAGAGTTTGTATTCTTGTAAAATTTAAATTTTATTTAATTAAAAATGGTGGCATTTATGTAACTGTTTAAAGACCCTGTAATTTATAAAATATGGTTAATTTTGTGTCTTAGGTATCTTATAACAAACGAATGCTGTGCGCAGATGCGAGATATTGTAGTTATGGAAAACCCATTCTGTTAATAATTCTAAGAAAGAGACATCCATGAGATCTGATAATCTACCTGTGTGTTTATATCACAGCAGTTTAGTTGAATAGCAACACAGACCTATGTAACATGTCATTCTATAGGAGTGTCGCAAATATGACTATTTCATAAAAAGACCGTGAAAAAATGATAGAGCACAAAAACCGAAGAAAGTGTTGTCGCGAAACAGGTTTTATTCTTGCTCGATAATACTAATAAGAGATTCGAAACCTGCGATAAATTGACCACAAGTTATGTGCCTATTATATAAATAAATACTTCATAATCTTATAAATACTGAGTTGTTCGAGAAAAATTGAGGTTACGTCCAGAATTCTGGCATTTATGGGTTGTGAAAGGAGATTAGTTATAATATTAGCGTGTAATATGTACGGAAATATTGTAATTTCAGAAAGGTGTTAGAAGCGTGCAAGAGTAAAACTTTATCTCGTATTGAAAGCTACAATAATTTATTACTGAGAAATAGACACCTTTTCCTTTTACTACGTAAAGACTGATCACAGAATGAAGTATTCTGTGTATTATACAAGTTATGTTGACAAACCACCAAGATATTTCGACTAAAAAAAAAGTGTGTGTGTTGTGTTTTCAAGTTCATTTAGATACTCATTGACATGAGCTGAGAAAACCTTAATGGGGAAACCTGGGATATAAATCTGAAATTGCAATCCAAAATGCGCACTACAATTGTTTAATGTGGATTGGGTATGAAACGCATATTCTTTCTCCGTTTGTGAAGGAGTTCAGTGGGACAGTTACAGACTGACATCGATGATACTATCCTATCACATTACAATACTACATAGGTAGGGGTTTTATTTCGAAGCTACGAAAGGTCGTATTCATGAAAATAAAAAAAAATATATTATTTGTATTACATTTGCCGTAATTTTTCATGCTATTTAAATCTAATTTTAACCATGAGAACAACATAATGCTACATTTTACATACAAGTTTAAAGTTCAAGTTCACACATTTATACATATAGCGTCTATTTTTCTTGCACTCAAGAGCAGGAAACAGTCTATTTACTCGCGTCAAAACTGGGTATCAAATGCTTACGTTACACGTATCGCTTTGTTAGCCGTAAGTGGGTAGTCGACACATCAATCAGGCGCATACGCATAACGTGAGTGAATATATTCGAAGAACATACTTCAAAGGCAGCAAGTAGATACCAGCTAAATTTGGGATCGTTTGAAACTTTGTAGAACATGTGATGCGTTGAAGTGTAGTCTGAGCAACATACTTAAGTACTCTCAAGATAAAAGAACCAAGCGGTTTCAAGCACTGTTTTGTTTCATGTTATGGTATTTTACAGTGTAAAGTTATGTCCTAGTGGCTGTAAACAATCTTGTGTACATGCTGGTAAAGTTGTTTATTGTTTAGTTCCGATTGAGATAAAAGAAGACTGTCTACATGTGTATTTGTATCATTTCCTCTTGTGCTGTAGCATTGGATGGGTGGATTAACTATTGTAATGAAGTTGTTACTCGCTAGTCTTCACATTCAATTCCGATATTTAGCAGCATCTTTGACTCCTTTTTCTTTTAAAAACCTTTAAAATTATTGTTGCCAGCCAATGTTATTGAAGATATGCCTAAAGAAAATATTATCTAACGAGAGATGAAAATGCGTACTAAGGAGACAGCGTTATAAAAATATTTGGTAACTTGTTAGCAGCTTTTCATAGCGACTACAAGTTCGTACCTTTACTTAACTAATACTCTATTCATGCTTTTGCATATTTTAAAAGTGTTAGGCGTGGTAGAGCTCCTCATCTTCAATAAATATATTTCTAGACGAAAACATCTCAGAAATTGTAACTTATATTTGATGAACTGATTTAAATCAATCGGTTGCCTGTTGAATGATGTATTTTTAACAATTAACTCGGGACTCTTGTGGAAATTCAATGGCTAAGACACAAGTTGGTAAAGTAAACTATTACTATGAGCTACGTGGTGCAGCTTATCGTAGTTCACACAACGAAATGGACAATTAGGTATACATGCCATTAAAATATTACCAAGGCTATTTAAAAGAAAAAACCAGATAAATGCACATATATTGAATTCGTACAGTATCAGGTGCGAGACGCAGACATTGTAAATATACCAACGCCACGTTTTGTGCATACTTTGCATAGGTGTGTATTTGCCAAACCGCAGCTGAAGTCTGACATTTGTTATACAAGTGAAATGATAACATCACAAGATAACCATTCACATAAGAACATACTCGATGCAAATGTCGTTGGTATATTATTATTGTATTTGTGGTACAAAGAGATTATCTCAATCGCGTTACGAGTTATGACATGTAGCTAATGTCGGATGAAGAGATGAATTATTAGATGTAGTAATCTGGATTCGTTTTCGTTTCCTGTTTGATATATCATAAAGGTTTGGGCTATAAGAAGCCATAATGTGCTTTGTATGTACTACATACGTTATAATAAACCTGTTAATCTCTAAAAAGACAGACGTACATTTTTCTTCGTTATGTTGTAAGATCCCTGTTTAAGACAGAGCATAGATAAAAAGAATTAGCATAAGATTTTGCCATACCATGAACGCGTCATATATTTGTAACTATATCGTTCATCTTAGTTACCTTGACTATTCACCATGGAGCAGTATTCCAATACAATTGACAAGCATTGTGGGAGTAGAAAATGTAAACTTTTTGTTCAGTATTTTGTTAATGTTAGTGCCTACGTAAAATTATTTATAGACAGTATAACCTAAATAGAAAGGAAAAGTGTTTGGAATCCAAACGTAGGTAGATCATAATAGAAAGTAGAGTTTATTCAATCAAGCATAAACTTCCGTGGTTTACGAGGAAAACGTTTTAATTAGTGCTGCTGTTGTTTCGCTAATTATGAATGATAATTTATTGAATAATATTTGAACTCCGACGTGGTGTCTGTGCGTCAACTTCAGTGTATTGCTTTGTTGACATTGTTGAAGCTATTGACGTACACATAACTATACAACAACTGCATACATTGACATTCCGGCTTAGTGATTGGATTTGACGCATTGTCGTATCTTAACAGTACATTATGTACGTAAGCATATGTCTACGTTGTTAAATAGTCGTTATTGTCAGATAAGGTGTCCAATAAATTAAACATCAGCTAAATACGGCAATAACTTTAACTATTACAAGATCGACGTGTCACGCACCACTCGTGTCGCGTGAAACTATGATTAACGTAATGTCACTTGTTATCATTAAAATTGAATAATTCTAAATAAACATTATTCACTCAAACTTTTACCATTGTTTATTGTTCGTACATACGTTACCTATCAATCAATTAAATTAATGAAATTATTGTTGTTACAAGACTTTAGACATGGTCTTATTAGTGATCGGCCTAATTAGCAAATTGAATCACGCTTCAATACGCCTATCTGTATTATTTGCATGTGTGTTAGCTTGTATACACTTATCGTCGTTTAATTGCCTCTCTGACCTGTCTGTTCGATATATCTTCATTTTATGGATACGATTCCGAGAAACGCGATTCAATTGTTGTGTCTTTGTTGATATCTCGTGTTATTCAGTACCTACAGAAATAATAAACGTTCTTCGTGTCGAGAGGGGCCCGTTGCGTAGTGCGTGTGGCGAATTTGGCGGGCGTTTGTGTAGGGGTGGCAGTCGGCTAGCAGCATGGGCAGGGTGACTGAGGGCGAGGGCTGCCTGCGACAGAACCTTCGCCCTGATGACCCATATCCGCGCGCCCCGCCGCCACCGCCGCCGCCGCCGCCGCCGCCGCGCCCCTGCCGCATTTCTTTCTAGGTATATACACCGTCTCAATTAGAACGTCATTACCTTCATTTCTCTCCTATTGTAATTACTTCTAAATATTGATGATAATTCAATGTGACGGTAGTGAAGTTAAAGTGTTGTAAGTAGTAAATTATTATACATATCTATGTTGTTATTTTGACAGTGTAACTATACTATTATAATGCTATATTTTGCAAAACACTAATTTGTATTAAAATATGAAGTGGTACTAGTTGAATAACACATTATCAACATAGTATCCTTAATTTAAAAATAGTCTTAAATTACACTGTCGCTACAAGCACTTACCTAATTAAAAATATCTTTTGGTAAATATTTATGTTAGCCACATCCAGAGTATTGTTTGTCTTCTACCAACTGATAATAATGTTATCACAGTTATCAGTTCAACACACCTACTAGTGACTTCAGTTTCATGTTTCCTTGTTATGTTGTGTACGTTCCCCCCCTATTTTCTATTGTTTTTAGAACAAAGTTCAAATGTACCTCTATTCTTTATCTCTACCTTGTAGATTACATTAATAATTAAAGATTCCGAGTTCAATAAGTAACTCAAACAACGACAAAATATATAAAATTAAAACAAACAAACAGGTTTTCTCATTGTTGTGGTTACGGTGCGTTTCGTTGGTATGAGACCACGTGGTTGACGTGATATGGTGTACTATGAAATTAATAATATTATGATGAGCAATAGTCGGAGCTACCATGAGCGCGGTATTGGGTCGGTCAACGTGACAGCGGCGACGCAGCGGTGACGCGGCGGGTGGCGTGGTGTGGCAAGAGGTGGAGCGAGTAGGAGAGCGGACTGCGGAGTGCGGGCGCAGGTGTACTGACCGGTGTGCGCGGGCGGGTCGGGCGGCTCGGGCGGCGGCGACGGCTCGGTGGTGTTGGAAGGCGCGCTCGCGCAAGCGGCCGCCGACGGCGCATCTTCCGCGGCGCGGGCGGAGGGCGGCGGCGACGGGCCGGGGGGAGGCGCGCAGAGCGCGACCAGCCGCAGCAGCGCCACGCACCACCACCAGAGCACGGCGGCCAGCGCGCGGGCAGCGCGCCCGACGCGGCCCGGGGCCCTCTCACGACCGAAATACGCGCACCGTTGACTCGTGCACCGGCGAGCTCGTTCCCTCACCCGGGTATTCGTGCGGCGTCGGGACGGCTGGCGAGGCGACGCGGGTGCGCGCGCGCGGCCACACGGCGACTGGGGCGCCGTTCCCGAGAGCGTACGACCGCGCCCGAACACTATTTCGGGAGCGACGCTCCGCGCCGCTGCCGCCGCCCGCCCGCCGCACGCTGCCAATTTTACGCGAAATTGCGGGCGGGCGGTGATGCGATATGTACCACGCCGCGGCCACCTGCATCTGCGCCACCGGTGCACTGCTCAATAACATTCTGTAGGGATTTGCCTTTTTCATTGAGAGGGTTTTTTTGCGAGGAGGTGTTGAGGGCGCGGACCCGCACGTCGCTGCTTCGCCGCCGCCGCTCGACACGTGCGCCACCCGTCTACTCAAAATAGTCGGCGGCGAACGTGCTGCTGGCCCGTGTCAATAGATACAATGTCGCAGCTATTGGCAAGGAAACAGAGACTCGCACTATCTCACTGTCTCGCGCTCTCTGTGTTGTGAATTCTTATGCACGGTTTATATTTAGATGTAAAATTATTTCTGATATAGATAGGTGTTTGACATTACGTTGAACTCTCATACGTCGGGAAGCTCCACCTGTATAAATATTCTGTGCCATAGCAGTGTAATGTTTGAAATGTTATTTAGTAAATCTGTCGTGTAAATAATAAGCAGCAGTTAAAAACTAGAAATAATGTGACACCTCTCAATAAATTTCTCATGTCATAATTAAAATTAATAAAATATGAAATAATAATAGATTATTTTCATTGTCGAATTCAAATTATGATTTGATGACCTCAATAAATATAATGATGAAAATATTGAAGTCAATTAATAATGTTACAATTAAAACTCTGGTTCATCAATGAATGTGAATGAAAATGTTCATAAAGTTTGATTGCTTTAAAAAAGCAGTTAAACACGAGTTACAAAATAAATTCATAGTTCAAAAAACTAAAAAGACGCAATTAATAATATTTCGTCGTCGTCAGGGGAATTAGACCCGTCTAATGAGCCCAAATTCGATATGTTTACTAGTAGGCAGTCAAGGATTCCATCAGTCACCTTCCTATTTTATCATAAGACTACCTAGTCTGTCAATGGATCTCCATTGCACAATAATTTTGCAAGGCCATCTAATCTATATGTAATTACTAAGTTTTGTGATGATACAATAATTAGAAGAGTGTCTTATTCCAATTCTTAGATTATATTACATACATACCAAACCAGCATACTTTTTTTTTTTAAGTGGGAAAAATTATCGAATGACTGCTCCCGTCTGGGTGATGCGAGGGAGTGTCAGACTCTTACTGACTAAAAACCACCCCGTTCCTTCTCCTGCACGTCGAGCCGGAGCCCCGGTAACCATTTAGATTCTCCGCAACTCCGAATCGGCATCAGCCCTGTTGGGTCCGTGGTGGTCTGATGGCTCTTTGAGGCGCGCGCGGAACGCGACGCGCCGCACGCTCGGGTCTGTTTCTGGTCGGACGGGGATCCACCCATAAACCAGCATACTATAACACGGTTTTATTAGGTCACCCTGTTATCTATAAGTAGGTACTATTGGGTTCGTCCTAAAAGATATGTCACCTAACAGTCTGTATATCTAGACGTAATTTTTAACAGTGTTTACAAACATCTTAACTAATTCAATTCATAATTTTGTACATACTAGATGTTGTACCTACGTTAAAATTTAATGTAGGTAATAGCAATACATAATAATATTATTCTTGGTTGAAATAAGTGCGTCGTTTATGGCTTACCAAATCAATGTTGGTGAGTACGGAAATTAACTACTACTGGCATTCTGTCAATGATGATCAACTAAGTAAGCTTCATCATAACTGGTGCTACTTAGCTCGGTAATTTATTTTTATTTAATAAATAATAAAAACTAAGTGGTGTATAAAGGGTGTAAGCGGTCCCGAAAAACGCCGACAGGAGATGGTCATAAATAAGTTTTATTTTCATAACAGTAAGGCTTTCAATGTCTCTTTATGAATTAATATGTAGTTTAATCAACCCCACCAGGCTGATGTTGCATGAATAATATAAGTAAACAAAAACGATTAAAATTGTAAAAAGTATTTTTTAGTCAGCGTTTTCGTGAGCGTGTACCTTTTTTTTTATTGAAAGGCGCCTAGCTTTTTGGGCATAAAAGACTAGACTAGTAGAGTGTCGGATTTTTACCTCACTAAAACCACCCCAGTGGCCACCCTCAACACCTGTATGGAGGCACCGGGTCTTCTAAAATAAAACCTGCTCCGGAGCCCCCACGGTGTAAGGCTTGTTACGACATATCTGTGTACGGGGGCACGTGACCATTGTGCCACCGTCTTCCCTGAGACCACAGGGTGGGCACCTAGTGTCCCCACTCTATGCACCCGTGGCCCCAAAGGTCCGCCTGAAGTTGATGCAGGCAGGATTTCGGCGTATTAGGCGTCAAGGTGGTTACCTCCTTGACGCCTTCTACGAGCTGGATCGGCCCTATCGCGATCCCGCTCACTAGCCTTCTTTTGGAGTACTGTCTCACAAAAGGAGGCCACTTCCCTCCAATTTTCTGTGTCTGCCAGTATAGACTTAACTATTGCTGGCAGAGACAGGTCTCGCCCGATGAGAGCATGTACCTAGGATCCATATAAACACGAAAAGAAAGTAGAGAAATCGAATAGAAGAGTAATATGATAGAACTGAAGTATTTAAAATAAGTATTAAAGTTCTGTTTACTTATTTTATACTTAAAGTGAATGTATTTTCAATTGAATCTTTACCATGAACATTTACCATAGATAATTTTATAACGTTGTTTCCTGAAAACCTTTTCCCAAACCTGTGATAGGATCGAGGTCCCTTATTTACTTGACCGACGACCGTTTTTGTAAACACGACCTTAATTATCGTTATAAGCCTTAGTAATTAGGATATGTTGCCGAATGGGCTGGAAATTATCGCATCCGTGGTAATAGATAGGTTTTAATCAGTAGCTTACAAAGGGTGTGTGGTGTCGTAGTGTATTGTTAGTTCATCGTTCCACAATAGATGTTTTTCACTTGAGACGTGGATATGAGAACGTGCGCCGATAGCATACCGTAAAGCAATCGTAATAAGTATATGATCAAAAGTAAATGTTCAATCCTTACTTACGATCTTAAATACGAAGAGGGTGTGTTTAGTTGTCTTTCATTCCGTCTGATTTTATATTTTTTTGTCCGGAGATAATTAAGAGAGTGCTGTCTGTCTAGCTTATAGGCTACATTTTTCTTTTGATCGCGCAGGTAAAACTACGCGTAACAATTAGTATTTAATAAAATGAAATAAATCAAGGGAAACTACTTCTTCTATTTATATTTTTAATTGACAGTGAATAAGCCGGAGTAGGTGCATGTAAAACGCTATTTTACTTAAATTATTAAGTTGGTTAACATAAACAATCGATTTGTGCCTTTAAACATAGTTACCGGTAAGATTTTCTCTTAAATTATTAGGTTCCTTTAACGACCACGTAGGAGGAGGGGGAGGGGAATTGGTTGTAAGGGATTCGATGATTGGGGATTTGGGGATTAACAACTTCACTCATACGAAACACAACGCAAAATAGTTTTCACGCCGGTTTTCTGTGAGGGCATGGTGTCATTCCGGTTGAGCCAGCTCGTTCATGCCGAATTATGCGTCTTCCACACTTATTCCACTCTTATAATATTTTTCTTTGTAACAAATATTGTATAAATATTCTAGAGTCAGGTAAGGCATTACTGGTTCGATATTAGAAAGAGAAGAAACTTAATTAAGTTTATTATACTTAGGAAATTCTCAGTAGTGCACGTCCGGGAAGGTGACAATTTTATGACAATTTGCTCACCAGTTGGCAGATGGGATTCACAACATAAATAATGAAAAAGTGATGTTACATTTACATCTTCACCTCTACCAGGAAATAAAACGTGTGATGCTATATGTGTGGAGATAGTGGTAGTGCAACGTGTCCATGTGACATCGCAGGCTGCGCTAGGCGGCGGCGCGGCGCGGTCACTGCACTGAGGTCGCGATGCACCGGAGCATGTGGCCACTTCGCGCTCCGCACCCCGCACCCCGCACCCTGCACCCTCTACCGACACAGCCTTGCGAACAAGACATGGCAGAATAGCGACTTTCAACAATCTAGTGACCTTTCCGACGTACATATTTTGGTAGATATCCCTAATATATAACTAAATAAAACATATTTGGCAAAGTAGCACCAGAAGCTATTAAAATAATGCTGGTTTTTGTTCACAGACTAAATTGGTACGTATAATTATTGGTATTCTTTTTTTATAAATTAGTAGTAGCTTTGCACGGGTGCCATCTATTACATATGTTAGGGTCAGGAAAGCTCGTGAGTAGTCTACCCAAAAATTGTCAACTAAATCATATGATATTGATTATTATTTATATAGACAAGAAATTACAGCTATAATACAGGTTTTCAGATCCCGCTTTTCTTATACATCGAGACCCCTTGGTCCGCTCTCACCGGTTACTTTAAATTTTCATTAGCACGGCGGACCGCCGCCCGCCTCTCGCCGCCCGGGCGCCGACGACGTCTGCAATTACATTTCGCAATTTACAAATTGTCTTTTTATTTACGATGTATGCTTTCGTGAACACTTGCTTTATCCTTAACTTATTTTAATTGCACCTTTTCCTTCAAGTGCATTTTTACTTTTACCCAATTATATCTTTTGCTTTCAAACTGTCTGTAAGTAGTATTTTATTTGCCAAAATTTTATATTCTTATTGCTATAACTCTTAACAAATTTTAATAAAATTGTCTAAATATTATTTATATAATAATTGTTTGTATTAAAATTACATTTTACGATGATATTGCCAATCCAGATTAGTTAATTACTGGTGTTTTAATACTGCACGCGTTGATGTCTTTTGTTCTACTGAAGATTTTACTCTCTTGATCAATGAAAATCCCAACTTAACAAAAGAATACACATAGTTATACTGTGTTATATATCACATTTAATATATTACATATAAAACGGTAAGGTTACCTTATCTAATTAGGCAATAGAAACATAAAATTAATAAATTTTCGTTTAATTAAAACTGAAACGTAAATAAATACGACTTGTTTACAGCGATTTACACATCATCACGTAAGAATTGATAAATGGAATACATCATATTGTATCAGTACAAATCACACTTCAACATCCTATCAGTGGCCTCTGCTGTCCAAAGGCCTCTTCTCGCACATAGAAGCTTTGAGCTTTAACATTACACTTCACTACAATGCGGGTTGACGATTTCAAACTTATAATTAGAGATCATAAGGCCAAATTTTCTCACGATGTTTTCCTTCAACGTTTGTCAGTCTTATCTAAATAATTTTAGTAAGTACCCGTAAGAAGTA